CTAAACTAACCAACTTCCTTACCCCATTTGGTTCCTAAAATTTTGGCCATGCACCTTGTTTGGGACATATTTTTCGCTTGCATGATTTTTAAATATATGTTATGAGAAAAATAAATAATGACTAACTAAATTCCCAAAAAGTTATTCCAATAAATACTTCTATAAACCTTAGATATTCTAACACCACAAAATATAGAAGAAATGGCACAAAAATTAAACTCACATAACTATGGATATTCCAAGAGATATTTTTCTCCGAATCCACATTTGCAACATGACGAAATAAAATTATTTTTTTTTAATCCCATATCTCCTCTCCAAACATGCACATGACACATAAATCATAATTTAAACACAGTAGATTTAGATAGAATTATTTCAATACGTATAGCTAGGTTAAGGAGTTTCATGGGGGTTATAAATATCACTTGCATTTGTAGCCACCACCTAACAAAACCTAATAAAAAATCCTAATGCAACTATAAAGTAAGCATCACTACTAAACCGCATAAAATCTTTGTATTGTTTGATCGTGCTTTTCTTTTTCCTATATTTTTTTTGTTTGAATTATTTTCTAACATTATTGAGATCACAATACTATTTTTAATCCGAATTACATATAGAGATAATGATTATATTGAAGGATCATCATGATTGATTTTTATGACATGAGTTTTGTATATCCCAATTGGCATTCTAAGATCTATATTGAGGTTTGCGAGTGGTTGCTCGTGTGATGATCGAGCATGATGGAAGGTTTCAATAAAGATGGTAATGATTGTATCATTGTGGAGTTAAATTCCCAATCATAGCCCAATTTTCCCCAAAATTTTTTATCTTTTTATGGCCTTTTTTATTTACTTTAATTTTGTTTGTTTTCTTATTATTCATTTGTATTTTATTTTATTTTATTTTCATTTATAATTTACTATTACAAAAGAATAAAAAATATAATACACACACACACACACACACGCACGCACGCACACTACAAAAATACTAAAAATATTTAATTATATTAAGGAGCCTAGTTGAACAAAACAGAATCGAAATTAAAGCAATTAAAGATACAATCAAAGTAATTGAAAACCGTAAGACTAAAATTACAAGATACAAAGACCCAATTAAAAAATTAAAAACTATAGAGACTATAGTGACTCATTCGGAGGATACAATTGAGACAAAACTAAACTTACATGGACCTAAATTGACATAAGACACGAACAACAAGACCAATTCAGAATGAATCCTAATGACATGTTGTTCGAATACTCCTAAATTCTATCATGGCATGCACCGCTTGTAGCACACCACACTCTAGCATTATTCATCTTCATTAATGACTCGATGGATAAAAATGCATGTACCTACAAATTCCGTAACTATAGTTACTACACCTATACCCACTTGCATAACAAAAACACCTAAAATAGATAAGATACACAATCATAAAACATAATTTCTTTAGCTCGTTTATATAGAGCCAAAACTGACATCAAAGCTGAAAGAGTTGTTTTGTTATGGGCGGATTTTGGACTTAAAAGAATTGATCACATAAGTGATAAGGAGGACTCGGGTATAAATAGAGGTCAAATTTACAATTTTAGAGAGGAGTTTGAAGGTTTTAAAGGGTAAAGGATTGGGAAAAATACCGAGAATTAAGGGACAAAAGAGAATATAGAATTGGAGAAATCCTAGAGCAAGTGAGAGAAAATAATTAAAAGGGATTGAGAGAAGAATTAAGATTGAAACAAATAACAAGAAAGCTTAGGAGTTAAAAGTTCTTAACATCGGCTTTTGTAGCTCTTAGTTTTAGAAGAACTTTTGTTTCACCGAGTTGAAGTAGCAACCATTTATTGCCATCGCATATCCTCACCCGAGCTCTATCAAGGAGACACCTAGGTAAGACTTTTCTTTTAATTTATAGTTACCATTTGTGTTATGTAATTACTTCCAACTCAAAATGAAGGATGGAAATGATATTCATCACTACCGACCCATAAAAACATCCACCCCTTGTCAATTTCACTCATTAGGTTTTCTAAAGAAAAAAAAGAATTTTAGTGACTCACTAGGGTAAGATTTTAGGACTATTTGGTTGATTATAGATTTAGGCTTAAGATTTAGGTTTGAATTGGGATAAGGTTATGATTTAAGACTAGTTTGAGGGAGGAAAAAACCTAGGGTTTGAGGATATAAAAGACAAAAAGGAAATCAATTGAATCTTAAGTTGTTTTAAGAGAAGAAGTAGATTAGGATTTTGATTATTTTTTCTTAGAAGAAAGGGTGATTGATTGAACAAAAAGGAGAAGATATGTTGGGTTAATGTTTTTGGGTTTGTGATAAAAGGTAAGGGATCAAGTCATTTTTGGAGATGGGCTTTAACATGAAGAGATCGTTCTTTCTTAGTGAGAATTAGAGAGATATCCGGACAAGGAAGAGGTAGAGAAGGAAAGAAATGAAGAGAGCTAAAGGATTCGATTTCGACGGGAAGCTAATGGTAAGTTTTCATGCTTAAAAGAGAAAAAAAGAGATCAAACAATCTGATTGAGGTGAGGTTTAGGTAGAAAGATGGAGGGAGCGGAAGAATTAAGGTTGTAGAAGGTGAAAGACAAAAAAAATGAGAAGAAATAAATAAGGAAGAAAGATGACAAGAGAGATGAATGATTTGGGGATTTTGATCTATTTAAGTTTGAGGGTGAATGAAAAAATGTTAGAGAGATTGGGACATTAGGCTAGGTTGAATGGAAAAAAGGACGAGCTAAGCCTAACCTATGCAACTAAGGCTTAGGCTAATTTCAACCTAGCTTAGGCCCAAAAAAAAAAAAAAAAAGGTTGGTCGACCCAATCCGAGTTGAATGGAAAAGAGGATGAGCTAAGCCTAATCAGTGCAACCAAGGCTTGGGTTGATTTCAGCCTAACCCGTGCCCAAAAAATAAATAGAGAAAAAGTTTGACTGGCCCATCTCAATGGTTCGATCCCATAGGCCGAAGGCCTACTTAACCCAATACCCTTAATTTAGTTTTTTTTTTTTTCTATAGTAAGTCAACCATGATTTTGTTTTTTACATACCTTTTATTTCATTCCTAATTTAGGTTTAATATTTTGAATTGTCCTGTTTGTTTTTATGCCAAAAATGTTTAATTTTTAGGTTTTTTTTTATAATTAGATTAGATAATTAATAGGTGGAGGAATCGTTGAATCTCTTAATTTTTAAGGATTGATTACAATTCTCCACTAACTATATATATATAAAGAAAAACAACCAAAAAAAAAATGAAAAATGATTAGATAAGAAAAAAGATAGATAAAAAAAATATGCTAGGTAAAAAATAAAGAAAAAGAGAAAAAATGAAAAGCAAAAGTATAGAAAATATTTGGAGAAAATTAACAAAGTCTCATATTTAATAGGAGCTGATGTTAACCGAAATCAATCATATCTTAGTAATTAGGTTATTCTCCGATATACTCGGTTATGTCAAAACTTAAACTCGGATCCGATGTTAAAATTGACGGAAAGTCCAATAGAGGAGTCCAACGATTTGTTCAATATGATGTCATAAACAAAAATAAAAAATTAATTTGATATAGGAAACAAAACTTAGAATTTTGACTTAGGATCAATCTTGGAAAAAAAATAGAAAATTTTAGGAGATGAACTTTAGAACTAAACTAGACGTGGTATCTTTCTTAGAAAAAAATATTTTGGGTGATTGATATATTTTTAAAAGTATAATAACTCCTTATTGGAGAATCTTTGAACCAATGCTTATTTTAGGTTTTCAATTCCTTTAATACTAGATGACGACTCTAGAAATTTAATTTAACTCACATCCCCAAATTAATGTAATTTTGAACTTATTATTTTTTAAAGTCCCACGAAAGTCGGTAGCGACATTCCTAATAGAATTATTATATTTTGCTAATTTTGTTATGTTGATCTATCATGAAAATTGTTGGTGTTGGTTTCATAATGAATATATTATTTATACCAAAGAGCTTGTAGTTCGAGTAGTAATTATCTCTTGCAACAAGAGGTCACGAATTTAAATTATAACAAATTAGTTTTGTTCACATCCTTGGGGTGTGTGCGTTAAAAAAATTACTATTTATGTAGGGGAGGATTGATGATTGTATTGCTTTTTTTTTTTAATTAATTCAATTACGATTAAAGAATAATATAAATTATGAGTCCTGCTAAGGGAAGATAAATTGAATATTCAACTTAGAGGGGAAAAAAGAAAAAGGTGTGCGGACAGCAATTCGATCTTGTGATAAAACTCCAGAACTTGGATCCGAATGAGTCTTTAGGTCATAACCCTAGCAGACCAACTTAAACAAGCATGCCCAAAACGTGAGAAGTAATATGTCAGCATCCAATAAGGTTGACATTTTATTCACTGAAATTTTTTTATGTCAACACCTGCCTCGCCTTTTAATACCATTATTTATACATTGACCTTGAAAATAATACTATTAAAAGAACTAAGGAAAAATACAAAATTGAAAACGAAGTCCTCTCCTGCTTTCTTTTGGAAGCTGATCAATACATGGGAAAAATAAAAACTTTAGGTTTAAACATTTGATGTGGAGATGTATTAGAACAAAATTATAGTCCTATAACATTCCTTCTTCCTGGAATCAAAGACTGTAAAGCAAATTTGAATGAAGAGGAAGAATCAAATAGTGAAATTTATAAAATAGACAACAATGCACCAAAGCTGCCGACATTGACATCTATAATCTTCAGAATCGTCCATCTCCATCTCCATCTCCATCTACAACTCCTCGTCAATATTAGTTAAAAAAAAAAAAATGGTTAATAGACATAAAGTCACGAAGTTGAACTTTCAATGCATTCATTAGCCTATTTTTTACATGCCATGGTTCGGAGAAAGTAGTCTATGGCAGTATACACGAAGGTGCTGTCTTGATTATTAAATACACCTAAAAAAGAAATCTTGCCTTCGACTTGACCGGATGTTTTCTCAAAACTAAAATTACTTAAGCTGGACAGCTGTATGTGGCGAACATTCTAAGAGTGATTCCTTCAAGTAATCACCAATCGGTAATCCAAATTTCATAGATTTTGACCTGGCAAAGTTCTGTTTTACGGTTTGTAACCCAGTAATTATTTACCTTGGGCTTACAGTTCTGTGAAGTCAGGTTCAAGAAAAGTTGACCCGAGCTCGACAAGCTTACGTAAAGCTTAAAACAATTCTAGTTTGGGCTCTGTTACAAAAGTCCTCTTTTTTTTTTTTTTATACAACGTTTGGTCACGGCCATATGCTAGGTTGGCTCAGGCCACAAGTTCCAATCTTTCTGTAACTCTCCAATTCCAGATTCTATGACTAGGCCTCACGTTCAAAGGGCCTGGATTTGTAACTAAATTTGGATCAAGATCCGATCACTGTTTCTCTGATATTGGAGGCCGATGAATTTTGATCCTCCAAACTTAGTAGCCAATCAATAACTCTCTCTTAAACTCTCCGAATTAATCTTAATCGTTTATATTTTTCCTTGATTATTGCCAAGAAACTCTTCCCCAAAATCTTGTACGAAATGGGGATGTGAAGTCGTCCTCCGTTTCTAGTCAAATTATTTGGACAATACACTGTATACTATAAATTAATTTTGGGCAAATTTCATTAACCATATTCTTTCGACGGTTCAGACAGCTAGTTTAAATATTAGACTTCCCTGGCCACAAAAAACTTGTAACATGTCAAGAAGTTTTAATTTTACTCAACACATACCAACAAGAATAATATATAGGAAAGTGTTAGTTTAAATATTTTTCCTTGGTTCTTATAAATATTATTATTTGAGTATCAAATCTTTAATTTCTTCCGTTTAAATGCTAATACTTTAAAACCATTTAAATGCCAACACTTTTAAAAAACCAACAACCAACTGTTTCATTGACTCAATATACTGATAATTCAATCGACGTTAGTGTACTTTTTCTCTTCTTCTCTTAAGAATTCTTCGCTTCTAACTTCTCTTTTATGAAACAAATATCCCTAAAAAAAAAAAGGTTTGGTTTCCGAATGCTAGCTATGTATATTTATATTGTTTACACATATGGTAGAGCCATTTGGAGAATAAACTTTTTACACGTTTAATATTTTTAACCATTTTTTATTGATTCTTTAGTTTCCTATTGTATTCCTAGCCCTCATTTTTTGAAGTAATTATAAAAATTGCATTTGTGTATGATATAGTTATTAATTTTTCAAATTTTAATAATTACTTTGATGAGGAGTATAATTCTCTTTTAATTAAAGTTGGGTGTTAAAACCAATAAAAAAAGGTACTCAAATAAATATCGATTTGTTTGTTTTTTTTTTTAGTCTAAAAGTATTTTTGCCTACACTCACAGATGGAACTAATTAAGTTGAAGGAAAAGGGGGACATGAGATTTTGAAAAAATTTACGTTTTAGTTCTAATTTTTTAAAATATTTTAAATTATACCCTTCAATTTAAGGCTTATTTTTATAGAAAATACATGTTTTTCATTCCAAAATCAAGTATTTTCTGTGGCTTTCCTTTTGTTTTTTCATTTTCAAGCTTACCCAATTTTTTTCATATTGACCAACGTAATTCTAAATTTTGGATCCACCCTTGCCCCCACCCCCACTCTCTCTCTCTCTCTCTCTCTCTATATATATATATATCCAAACCAAACATGTTACATTAATCTAATAGCAAGACAAAAAGAATTGAACACAAAACAGTTAAAATTAACTAATAAGATATGAAAATCAGAATTAAGCGTGTAATTTCTTCTTTTAATTTTTGTTACCCAATTCATTGTCTGGTCTGACAGAGTCAACATAGGTCCATTCTAAGTAGTTAATTAGGTGTAATTAATAGAAAACGTGGCTGGCGAAACCGAGATTGCCATCATTGTGCTTCCAATCGATCACAGCAGTCTATGAGACTCGGAACAGTAACATCCACCTTCAACTTGAAAGTTGGAACGTGGAGTGATCACACTGTCTGCTAGTATTAAAATACAACAACACATAGTAATTTATAGGGTATTTGCATATGCGAAGATGAGTTTCATAGGATCGTGCGCTAAGGAACAGCACGCGCACTGCCATCTCTCTCGGTCATAGCAGGGGCTGGGCTGCTCTTCTCGGGTGTCTGCTACAAACCCATCATGTAATATGAGTATGCATTTGTTTATTGTGAATCAATTTTTCTGCATATTAAACCATGTTGCTTCTGCCACTCGCTTTTCTATGTTTTTTGTCTCACTCTTTCGCCCCTCCTTGGATCTCCCATTTCACTACTTCCCATCATTCCTTTTCTGTCATTGATTTATTATTTCTTAAATCTATACTTTTAACAAATCTTTCTCCAAGCAAACATTCTTAGGACAGCTTCATTAAAACCAGCATTTTTCACATCTAAGCATGGAGTCATGCTTTTCATTTTTCTAAGTTACATGCATGATCATATAATTACGATTAAAACAGACCTATGCTGAGTGCACCAGCTTCATTCATCACATCTAATGGTTTTTCTACTTTTCCCCTTAATCATATCAGGGCAGTAGATTTAAATAAATATAAACTGATGGTTAAGGGTGCGGTCTAGAAACAATGTAGAGCCCACACAAGACACATAAGCATTTTCGTATCCACATATCTTGGTAAACTATATAACATGATCAATCCAACATTGTTGTTCAATGAATCAGATACACATGCGCAATTTGTCCTATATTTTTCTCGCGTACCAAACAGCATCTGCAAGTGTGTACTTGTTTTCATAGGATTCATAACAATCGATCATTGAGGAGTAGTTTTCTGCTAATTAGTGCTTAAATTAAATGTGCTAAAATTGTCTATTGCAACTTGCTGTTACATGCATGTACTTTAATCATACTAGAGTCTTGGAGAAGGTTTCCCCATTTGGTTTGTCCGACCTATTTTCATTTGTTATTATGCTACTCACTGCCCGGGTTTCAATATTTGTGCCTGCAAACAAATACTCACGAGCTAGGGTAATTATAGTAGGCTCGTTTCTTGTTCGCTACGCAAATTCGGTATAACATGCCCTTCCATTTCTTTCACGGCCCCCAAATTGCTTTATTTTCTTGATTTTTTTTTTTTATGCTTTTTCGGGTGCGATGCACATGCGACATAGCAATGTATTTGAGCCTTTATTATCAATCTTGGGCTAATATCAAATTGGTTGTTGATATTAGTCTAATTGCTTTTTCCAATTCAGAGAAACTGGCTCTTAATAATTTGATGAACGAAGCTTGTTTGGTTTTTATAACCTAGTAAAATATACAGAATCGAACTGTACAACGAATTTTTGTCCTTGGACTAGCTAGTTAATTATACTTTTGAACAATTGTATTTTACTTAGCGCGCATTGCTTGTTGGCAGAACAACACCAATCCATTAGATTTTTTTTTCTTTCTATTTATAAAAACAAGAACGACCCACAAGAAATGTTCTTCGCCACATCATGTTCCATTGCAGGACAGCTAATTACTTCTTCCGAGTATGACAATCTATTTTTTCCTTCATGTTAAGAGGAAAAACATAAAATATAATGCAATTGTTTCAGGTCCCTCTACATGTTTTCCTCTTAAAAAACAGTCACTCTAAATTAATATAATTTATTTCTTAATAGATTATTTATTATTATTATTTTTTAACTTATACATCCAAAACTCTTAGTAAAATTAATCTGTTTAGATTTGAATCCATAATTTTTTATTATAAGAGACCATTACCACTAAGCTATGTGCTATTTGATAACAGACTATTAATTTAATTAATAAAGGAGAAAAAACAACAACAAAAACATCAAATTAAAACGTGCTTGATTTTTCTACCATCCAAGAGTTCAGCCATATTTATGGTTAGGCCAAAAGAGCGGAAATATAAACATCTATTACCTGATTTCATATATATATATATATATATATATATATATATATATATATGACTAGAAATAAAAAATAAAATATAAATATGTCCCTAATTTGTTAGGCTAAAAGAGTGAAAGCACCTATTACCTAGATGTTATAGTCATCTAATGAAACCTAATTCAAAATTATGACCTCCACTTTTAATAATATTCGTAATGTTTATAGATTGTTTGATAAATGTACAGTGATATTTATATATAAAAAAAAAGTAACCATTTAAAATGAGTTTTGTTTTTTTTTTTTAAATATATCAATTATTGGTGGAGTAAACTGGACCAGTCGATCTGAGGCTATATCAACCACGCATATGGTTAATGATAAATATTATTTTTGGATGAATAGCATTAATTAATTACTTGCATTCATCTAATTAAAATAAAGAAATTCAACCGTTGATTGAGCTAAGCCTCACTGTACATATATATGAGCTGGCCGTCGTACCTAATAGTCTAATACTATATAGATGACATGTATGTCAATCCACCTATGATGAGGACGCGATGCAAGACAACAACTCCCATGCTGTGTAAATATTTAACTTTTAGCTTAATTTCCCTATTAATTTGAAAGAAGATAATCAGGAACAAGCAATGAACGGAAGTTGAAATGCCCAAAATTATGCCTTTGAATTGATGGAATGGAACCTATTTGGATTAGGCAACCTCAGAGCATTGTCCCCCATCTCAAATACTACGATTTAATCAAAATCAGAAACAGGAACATGGGACTCCCAAAATGATATTTTGGACTTTCCGACAACGACTACTAGCTAGTGGCTCATCCTGAAGCTGTGGCACCACAGAAAGTTCTATCATTGCTTCAGAACCTTCAACACCAAGAATTGTTCTTTATGATAGCTATGTGACGATTGTGCAGCAGTGACGAAAATTTGCCAGTGGTGCTTCATAATTTGAGCCCCGTTATTAATAAATTATCAAACGCTTGCTGATCAGATGATCAGGGTGTATTTATATATGTATATTTACAGACTCTCGTCCACATAACTAAACATAAATAAGAGGCCAGTTCACAAGTTGCGATGTTCAACGCATGAGACAAATGACTTGGCTGTATAATACATGGAAATAATAAATGCATAATCTGAGTTTAGATTGATTTATCTAAGATAGTGATGGTCCATTAACTCAATTATTTGGTTTAGACACTAAAAAATGACAAAGAACAAGCTGGATTTGGAAAATTTGAATAAACCCCATAAGTATATGTAATTTTTTTAGGTTATGGCCTGCTATGTGTGTAGAAGATGGTTAATTTATTTGGAAATCATATAATTAAATTGATCCTAATACTAATAGTTATTTGTGTCTTTGTTGTTAAAGAAAAAAAAAGGATAAAAATTTCAGTATTACATAATGCTGGCAGCGAATTGACAATTCATGAGTGACTGGGCACTCTTTTAACTCTCAAGGTACAGATCTCCAAATACTGAGGGATTAATTGCGTTGACACAGACAAGAGAAGGGTTACCCTTTCACAGTACCAAAAGAGAGAGTCAGGCATCCTAGTCGACGACATCGTTGTCCTTCGGAGAAAACAAACAATGACTGTTTTAGAAATCTAGAGTTGGAGGGATTAGGGACCACCGTCCTAAACTTCCTGCAATCAATGCAGATTGCAGAACCAGTATGTCAATGTACATTTGTTCGAGGTTGTTTAGAATACCTATGATTTGACTAAATGGCAGAAATTCTCAACTCAATGTTCAATGGGGGCAAGAAATGGTGTTGCGATTTCGGTGATTTGAGACATGAGCATCAAGAATTGGAAACCAAATGATTCCCTCAAATCAGATTGCAGAAAGTTGGAAGTCCAATGGGCTACAATCAAAAGCCACATGCTTGTTCAACTTAATTAGTTAAAGATTGACTAAATCTATGTAGTAGTATCTAAGCCAGGAAGAAGATCTTGTTCGAGATATACCTAGGTATATCTATGATTGTTTTCTTTTCTTTTTTTTAATTGACAGGTATATCAATGTTTTTAGATTTGAGGATACTTTCCAATTTCCATCTAGTTGGTTTTACACGCCAATCCTGCATCAATTTCTTTATATATTTTAAAGAAATACAAAATATCCATTATAACTAAATAAAAAACGAAAAGAAATTTTCAATTTATAGAGTAAAGAATATTACAAATTTGCCCCTTTCCTTATCTTCCGTTTAAAAGATTTACAGGTTGAAAACATATATTCTTTTTTTGTCTTTTTTCTTCAATTTGAACAAACTAATTTTTAACATTGTGATTGTCGCAATTAGTCCTAGACCGGATTCTGGAAAGATTTAACTGAAATGAAAACGAGGCAAAAAAAAAAAGATAATGGAAAAGAAACAGAAACAAGAAACGAACAATGTTATTTGATTTCTATTTGGGAAATTGGGAACACGAGTTTTGAAATGCGTGTTGGGCTACCCATAAAAAGAAACGTTTAAGCAAAAAGGTCTTTTTTGTTCCGTTGTGTAAAGCTTCTTGGCAAGCAATTCTTCAGAATGGTATGTGTAGAAAGAATTTACACTGCAATTTGCTTCCTATACAATGCGCCCAAATATGAATGAGGACTTATTAGGCATAACATTCGCAAAATGAGTTTTCATTTCTCCAAAATTCACAATTTTTCCGTATATATATATATATATATATATATTATATAATATTATATTTTTCTCTAAACCAACCCGTTAAGGCAGTAAAAAAAAAAAAAATTACCCAATTAATACAATACCAAAGCTAGGAACAAATGTTGCAAAACTGGTTGCTCGTTGCACATTCTGGTACCCCTTTATGAACCTCAATATGTAAATGTGACCCCCAAAAATTCTTCGTCATTTTATACGCATATCAAAAGAGAAGAATTATGCAGAAGAATTCTTCGTCATTTTGGACCATAATAGCATCGATGGATGTGATTTTGCTCATCATGGAAGATGATTACCACACGATTGCATGAACTTGGCACGCGCGGAATCGGAATTTCGACCAAAGATTGCATAGTCGCAGCACGCCTAGCATTGCTGAAAACAAAAAACGCTTTCCTTTCCCAAAATTTTTTTTTGAAAAAAAAAATCCCCAAAATTATAGCTGGAAAAAGGCTGGATTGTAAAACCTACTCCTCCAAGAAGCGTTTCACAATCTTCATGCTTGGTTCCATCACATCTCTCCCCCAAACCTCCATCCACCTCTTCTTCTTCTTCTTCCTTCTTTTCTTTTTTTTCTTGTTATCATCATCTTCCGACGACGCCATCATCACCTCTCTAAAGCTCTCCGTCGCATCAACTCTTTGTAGGTCCCACCCTGCACCTTTTAGTCTCAATATCTTACCCATCTGCCTTTTAGCAAGCTGACACGTGTTGTCCTTTATCTCCCTCACACAGTCCTCGTATAGTCCTCTTCGTACCCGATCCCATTCCCCACCAATACCTCTGCCACACCCAGACCCAGGTGGGTACTTTTTGAAATACCGGTCGAACTCAGGCACCCCAATCGCTTTCCTCAACCCTGTTTGACTCGCCGAGTCAACTGAGCAGTAATACTCTGACAACTCATCGAACATCCCCGACTCGAGCATTTCATCGACTCGCATACATAAGTAATCGCATAAAACAGGGAATGACACATCCACCCACAGAAAACAACAGTTATACCTTAACTGGGTCGAAACCGGGTTAGACACATCAAAAACGTTTAACTCGGGATTAAACCGGTCAACAACTAAAGCGTGAATGAGGGAGTTGGACCCACCAACCACAATAGGAAGCTTATGCCTTGAAACAATACCTGAGATAGCCAATCCACCGGCTAACCGAAACTCGGAGGGAGTCAACTCACCATCATCTGGGTCGAACTCACCGAGTAAATGGTGAGGAACGCCGAGGCGGTCTTGAATGGGGACTTTGTTGGTGGTGATGTCAAGACCTTTGTAAACTTGCATTTTATCGGAGTTAATGATTTCGGATTTGAAGCGTGTAGCTAGATCAATGGAGACCCTTGTCTTGCCACACCCAGTTGCTCCCATTATTAAAAGAATCTTGTCTTTTTTATGGTGTTGAACGACGGCGGCGGTGGAGGAGTCCGTATCCATACGGACTCCTCTTGGCGATAGGAGTGGCTTATTGAAAGGTTTAGAAACGTTAATGGGGAGGAGTGGCTTGATTTTATGGACAGTGTAATGAGACTGAATAGTACTGTTTGAGAAGGGAAGTTTCATAGGCAAGGAAAAAAACAGAGAGAGAGATAGAGAGAGAAAGAGAGAGACAGCTGGCTCTCTGTATATGTATTTTGCTGAGCTGTGCTGCGGTAAGATAAGAGCTCCGCAGACAAATACGGAACATGAAGACACTTTTGAGAGAGGGAGGGAGAGGCAGAGGGAGAGGGAGTTTGTTTATATATATATGTATAGCAGAATATTTCGAACTGTGATTTTGTGTTGTTACAGGAAAGAAGGAAATTGAAATGGCATTGATTTGGTATGTATCTTAGCTACTAGTTGTAAAGTATTAATCCTAAGCCAGAAGTTGTTTTTAAGGTTGTGAGAGTGATTTGTATGTCGCAGTTACCAGCATGGTATGTCTAAAAGCTGTGTGAGGATGATGAGGATATATATGACTTTCCCAGCTCGTTTCTTCGCCTTATGTTCAGTTGGTGAAACGGTGATGAGCTATATCTATATATACAGGTCGCTAGCTAGCTACCTATATTCGTACTTACGGCATCTCTAACGATGCTTTTACTTTTAATTAATATTTTTAATATAAATAAAAATGTTCTCTCTAATATTATTATTTATTTTAACTCTTTATTTTGAAAAAATCTATAAAATCTAAAAAAAATTATTGATGAAGAGACTGAGTGATATAAAAAATAATAATTTTCATTAATGAAATATAAGATAAAGAGTTATTTGAAATTTTTAGTATTTGAGAGTCAAAGATACTTTGTATCTTAATTTTAAAAATAGAAATTAGGATAAAAAGAGCATTAAAAATAAAATTTAGATCAAACTACTTTGTTATATAAAAAAAACTTTAATATAAAAAGAGTATCGAGATGCTCTTACAGCTCTATACGAGAAGGATGACAGATTGAGTATCATGGTAATATTTTATTTTATTGGAACCCACAAATATATTTTTAAAAAATTCAAATCTCCACCCCCGTGTGTGTGTATATACAACAACAACAAAATAGTCACATCCTTTGAGACCATTATATACGAAACAATTTGACTTTTATAATTATTGATGAAAATTAATAGATTTTTTTTTTTTATCTTTAAGAGATTGTGTTAAAAATATTATATAAAAATTATATTGAATTGACTTAAGGCTCAATATCAAGTGATTGTTATTGTTCATCATATTTAATTTCGAACTTTCTTTCTATTTGAAATTGTGATTATATTTCTTATTAGATGTTTTTTTAATTCTATGAGTTTATTTAAAGTTTGAGATTAGTTTAATGTGCAAATCGCTTTAAAAATACATTTATCCTCCACACAACCTAAATAGCTAGGTAGCTATTTCTAACACATAATTATTTTGCCTATGAACCGGACTTGACCCTAATAGCGTGCATTTCACCTATATGGTGATGAAGTTAGGAACCTTTTTTTTTTTTTTAAAGAACCAATAAATATACTATTGAAATTCAAATCTCTACCTACCTATAGAGGAAAACAAGAGTAACTTTCTTTGAGATCATTATGTACTAAAGAATTGTACTTTTATAAAATATCGCTAAAAAATTAAAGGATTATATACAAAAGGGAATATGTTAGAAATATTATGTAATAGTTATATTGAATTGAATTAAGGGTCAATTCAATATGTTATTATTGTTATTCATATTTAAGCACTTCTTTTCTATTTAGGAATTGTGATTCTTTTTGCTATTATTTTTTTATCCCAAAAAAAAGATTGTACATCTTTTTATTTATATTTATTTCAAAATGTTTGTCTAGTCAAAATTTTAAGTTATATACTTTATTAAAATATTCCTAAATAAAATCAATTTTATAAAAAAAAAGTCCAAATACAATTTTTTAAAAATATATATTTTAAAAAATATAAACAAAAAAAATACTAATATAATATAACAATTAATAGTCTTTTTAATTTGTTTGCAATATTAAATGAGACAATCTTTTTAGAAATTTTTTGATTCTATAATTTTAAACTTTGAAATAGTATAATATGCAAGTTAATTCAAAAATACATTATGATCTCATGCATGTTTAAAGAACAAATATTTTTATTGGTCAAAACAACCAAAAAAATAAAAATTAAAAATTAGAAGTCTGTTTGACTCATGTTGTACTGTGTTATGATTAATGTATTATATCGTGAGTACTATGTTGTGATTAATATATTATATTGTGAGTACTGTGTTATATATATTGTATTAAACTATTTAGTAATGAAATTATATATTGTGCTGTAAGTAAAATCGTTCAAATAATTGGTTGTATATTGATGTGTTAGTATTAAATATTAAATATATAATCTCAAAATTTTCATTAAAATTTAAAATAAGTTATTTGAAAACATGAAAATACTTTAATAATTAAAATAAATAATAAATAACAAATTTACTCTTCGTAAGCATGACAGAGATGCAAATTTTTTTCTAAGAGAGATGGTTGCTTGATTTTTAAAAAAGCAAAAACAGTTTTAATTTGTTTTTTTTTTTTTTAAGTTATGAAATTATCAACAGTACATATTTGCCTTGATATCTATTACAATATTATGAGCTTCATTATCTCATACGCTCAATCCTATCCACAAATATAATACAAGCACTATAACTTTTATTCGAAGTAAACTTATATTTATTTTTTATTATAAATATCTTCGTCGTCGTGATATATATATATATATACATAGTGAATAATAAACAACATCTAGCCTTGTTATATATTACTTTTTAAATGTGAAATGAATAAATAAACTAATTTTATAGGATTTTGAGGTTGAAAACTATGTAAGTATAAATAATCTTAAATTAATATGATATTTTGACTTATTTATCTACTTAACTACTACAAATCTTATAGTAGTAGATTTATGTACTTTATTACGATCATTTTAATTTAAATAGCACAATAATAAATTTATTTAAAACCCAATATTATAGCTCATTGCTGAGCAATTTAACTTCTTTGCTTCACACTCAACTTTAAAAAAAAAAATGATGATAATAATAATAACAAGCACAATACACAATCAAAGCACAGTGTAGGATGATCTTGATCAAACTGACTTAATTACTCAACAAAAAATTCTCCAACTTGGTACTTCAACTTTTTTCTTATTTTAATCCACTCCCTTGTTCCTTTCTGTAGAGTCCATTCATGGAAAAAGACTTCACATGTAAAAATCACGTAAGTTTGAAAATATATTTATAATAAAAATTAAAAATGTTTTTATTAAAAATAAAAATCTTAATAACAAAATATACCAGGATTGTTATAGAAATTATATTCAAGCTTATAGAATTGAAATAAAAAAATATTTAATAAAGATAATTAAATACTGAACTCGATCTCCTCTCTCTTACTCTCCCGCTACGCCTCTCCCTCGAGTCTCGTCAACACAAATATCTTGTCTTCCCATAGTTGTCCCGTCTCCAATTCTCTGTCAGTACTATCTCATCTCTCTCTCCCTCTCTCTCTCAAAAATGACTACTCTTTCTTGGATCTCGTCCATCAAGCATCTATTATAGATTTTAACCCAATTGACGAATCATCTCACAGAGCATTACGAATCATCTGCATTACGAATCATCTCACAGAGTATCACAGCCTGCAAAGGCAATTTCTATATTAGAGGTCTAGCATAGGAGGTTTGATAATAAGAAAACAGACTTTTGAGAGTTTAATTTTTATTTTATTTTTTTCTATTCGAGTGTTTATTTAGTAAATCATTCTGCTTAATTTTTTTTCCCCTATTTGAATGTTTACAATCACCTAAACAATATGTATTAGGATGAATGGTCGCATAGTATTTAAAACTGACATGTGTCAAAAATATTTTTTTCTTGAATTATATTGGAAAAAAATACAATTTGAGTGTCCAAATTTTAATCATTTTTTTGTTTGAGTGTCTAATATTTTAATTTTTTTTTATTTAGTTCTTTTGGTCACATGAGATTGAAAATATTATTATACGTGGGATTCATTGATAGGTGAAAAAAGAGAGTCTCATTTATATTTATTAAAAAGATAAAAATTATAAAAGAAAAAAGTTGGAAGAACTAAAACTAAAAAGAAATCAAAATCAATTATTATTAGCCAAATGAAGTTGAATTAATTAGTTGATTCAAAATTAAAACTCTTGAATAGATAAATGAATATTTAGATAAAGATATCTTGTAAGTATTTAAAGAAATTGTAAAGCAAACTTACTGAGTTTATTCAGCTAATGGTAATTGATTTGAATTTTATAATTATTGCCAACTACAGTCTTTTATAAAAGTTTTACTTTTTATTTTTTCTTAATAAATCTGAATCAGATTTTTTTTTCACAAATCAATTAAATACTACTGGATGTAAATGGATTATGACCACATTAACATTTTTTAATTTTAGATGATTGATGAAACACAAATTATATAGAAAAAAAAACAAACAAAAGTTGTACACTCAAACATAATAATAATAATAAAATTAGGCATTCAAATTGTATTTTGAAAAAAAATCAATTTTTTTCCTCTAAATAATTTAAGTGGGACGTACTATTTACCACATGTCAGTTCATCTTGGATAATCTCATGTGATTGGGAGCACTTAAATAGAAAAAAGAAAGTTAATCGCATAAAATATTTCTCTATTCTTTTGATTTTCTTAAAATAGCTCATGTTTTTTTTTTTTTATCCATTACCTCTCTGCTCTTGAATTTTTCTTAATGTAGATCTTTCGATTATTTTTTTTAATTTTTTAATTAAAATTGACACTGTTATAAAAAATTCTATATACCGTGTCATATCAAATTAGTTTGAAAAAAAAATTAAAAAAAATTAGCTGAAAAATAAATTATAAAAGAAAGAAAAAAATTTGCCACGCCTGCAATTTTTTATTTTTATTTTTACACTAATTTTTTTGCATCCCTTATCCTCTCGGATATTTCATTAAACAACTCTCTATCCTCTTCTCTTCGCAAACATTTCATCAATTAATTTTTCCGTTTCCCTTATTCTCTTTTCCTTGCACAACCCACCAATTAAACAAATGGTCAACAAACAAATTAGGACTAACTTTCCCCCTTGTCCTAATCTCAAACAACTCATAGCTCGCTTAAACTTAGAAACAATCCATTGTCTATTATGCACACCAAGAAATAGATAAGCCCCATTCTACTCTTCCAAAGCCCCACCTCCCTCGCCCCCATATACCTTAAGGAAAATACGTGTCTGATTGTGGATGGGCATAGCGAATTTTTAAATATTTAAAACTTTGCTTTTGCTATTTATTCACAATATCTCTCCATTTTCTGTCTTCCTGCCGTTCTTTAACCCTTTCACTCATGTCCTCCACGAACTTACAACTAATTACACACACAGCAACAGTTAAAGCATTGTTTTTTTTTTTTTTTTTCAATTTAATTCCATGGGTAAAAAAGAAGAAGAAAAAATTAGAGAGGAGTCATAAAAATTAAGAAACAAAATTACACTTGAAACAAAAACTATAACAAATACCCATATGTGTAGTCATAAAATCAATCCACAAACATTAACATCAATCACAAACACATCTTTTGACGTCCAAAACCTAGAATTGCAGCTCACATTAAATACTCACAATAACTAGGGGTAAGCATTCGGTTAAACGATTTGGTTAAGCATAATTTGGTTCGGTTTTTGATTAACCAAAGTATGAAAAATAAAAACCAAAACCGAATCAAAATTAATTCGGTTAATTCGGTTTGTAACCAAATTATTTCTGTTCGGTTTTGAAATAATTTGGTTTAACCGAACTTTTTCATTACTTCTCCATTTTAGACTTTAGACAGTTCTTTCAAAACTTTCATTTATTTTTTCTTTGCCTAAGCCGAGTAATTAGCAATGCCGAGCTAACAAGTAACCATTTTCTTTTCTAAAAAGGATTCAACACCAAAAAAAAAAAAATTCACAATTAAAGTCAAATTTAAACACCCAACATGTTTAACATTCATATATCGAAAAAGAAAATAAGTCATGCAAAATAATTGTTGATGAAACAAAGATCCGGATACAATGCAATCGACATTAAACAACAAAAGCATGGTAGAATGTCCCTCCTCATTTCTCAACAAAGAGGACGAGACACGAGCTCTCTTCCCGTCCTAAAACAAATGATTTTTGTGCATTTGCAATACCTTCACTCCTTCGGGATCTGCAATAGAATGAAATCCTAACAAACACTCAATGCTCTTGAAAGAGTATATTAACATGCTATGAAAATCAAAGGCGGTAGGCCTACGCCCACTACCCATCGTCGGTAGCGGGAGACACCAAGGCGAGTAAACCTACGGCTCACGATCGTGGGCCTACCGCCTACTCGCTATAAGCCTGCGAGTAGGCCTACTGCTAGTGCTCGGTGGGCAAAAGGCACCGAGGCGGTAGGCTACTTACCTAGTATGGTTCTCTTCTCTAGTTCAATAAAAATAAAAATTTACAATTCTCACTTACTAACTAAACTTGCACAAACAACAAAAATAAAAAATCAATCTAAGAAAGTAGAAATTTAGTAACTTATACATACCATTCATCATGCCAAAACACCATCAAGTCATCAACCCATCAAGATTCAACCATTTGTAATAGAGGTAGTTGCAAGTGGTAACTCTGAAAATTATAAGATAAAAAAATAAAACTTTTAATATTAATATAAAGGAAAGAAATAACAAATGAAAAGGTAAGAGTTATAGAAATTACCATCTTGTATTTTCTCAACATGTTGCAAATTTTCTTCAATAATAATTGGTGTCGATGACAATCCAATCTTGAGCACATATAAGAGATTCCACTAAGCTAGGAGTCAAAGAACTCCTAAAGTAGTCAAGAACCCTTCCTCCAAGTACTAAATATCGATTATAAGGAAACAATAGAAACGAGAACCGCCAATATATCCCTAGTCATTTGTGAAAGGATGGGAAAACGAGAAGAATTAGTTTTCCACCATTCTAAAATATTAAAATTAGCATTGTTATTTTCAGCACCTTCACTAAGATATTTATCCAACTCCGTTTTATTTCCTCCACCTCCGATATCACACTTGTATTTTTCAAAACGCATTATTATCTCCCTTTTTATTCTAATTTCTTCTTCATCAATCATTTCTTCATTTGCACAACCCACATCTATTTCTCGACTCCCACTACCTTGGCTAATTTCACCTTGAGATGTTGACGAACGACAATAGAAATCATACATAGCATACATAGATTCCTTGACAATATTTGACATTCTTTGACCCTCCAAATCACCATACAACTCATTGATTGAAAATTCAATAAATACAAGTTTATGCCTAGGATCAAGTATTGTCGCAATATAAATCAACTTATTCATTTTCTTAATATCCCCCAATACTTCTCAAACTTTTCTTTCATTTTATTGGCCAATGTAAAATCATCTAAATCCTCACTTCATTGCCATTTTTTCAAAACATGTTCGAGAGCATAAATCTCTTCAAAATAAATATTTGAAGTCACATACAAAGAACACCGAAATACACAAAGTGAGATTGTAAAAAATTTTCAACATGCCCACCAACTTCTTACAAGACTTCTAATCATCAATATTAGGTGGCCCAACATTATTGTTACCATGATCTACATCAAATTCATTCCTATATAAAGTATCAATTTGCTCATATCTCTTAAAAGCTCTCTCAAACTTTATAGCTGACTTTAACATCAAGTATGTTGAATTCCACCTAGTAGCAACATCTAGTTGTAACAAACTCCAAGAATCAATTTTCTCAAGTTGAATGCATTCCTTAAATCTTTTCAACCTAGCTGGAGATTGCCTCACAAACCTAACGGCCGATCGAATACAAATGATTGAAAGATTAAAATATTTTAACCCATCAACAATAACTAGATTCAAAGTATGTGTCATACACCATATACGAATGAATTCACCATCTAAGATGCTATAACCCCAATTCTTAATCATATCTTTTAAGTGCCTAATTGCCATATCATTCGAACTCGTATCATTAACCGTAACACTATAAACCTTCTCAATTCCCCAATCAATCAAGCATTTCTCAATGGCAATACCTAAATCTACTCCCTTATGACTATCAATCGGATAAAAATTCAAGATCTTTTTATGCAACTTTCAATCATTATCAATAAAATGAGTTGTTAAACACATGTAATTGATTCTTTGAATAGATGTCTATGTGTCCGTAGTAAGGCTAATTATTTGACTATTTTGTTTCAAAAATTGCTTCAACTTTATTTTCTCATCTAAATAAATTTGATAGCAATCTCTTGAAATTGTAAAACGAGATGGAAGCTTGAATCTAAGTTGCAAATTAGATAAAAACTTTTTGAATCCTCGACCTTCTATATGCTTAAATGGAAGCTCATCTAGAATGATCATTTCAGCTAAATCTTTTCTACTAACATTTTGATCAAACTTCCATGTGGTAAGATTGTTTTTTCCGCTTCAAGCTTTCTTAGGTCTAATTGAGTTTGGGTAGAGTCAATACAACTAAAATGGTTTTTTTTGCAAGTCAAAACATGAGACCTAAATGAAGTTGTCCCATTTTTTGAAGGATCACAAGCAAATATCTTATCACAATAGTTACATTTAGCCTTCATGTTTTTCTTGTCATCTTCAAACTTTGTGAAATGATCCCACACTATCGATCTTGGCTTCATTGATTTCCTCTTCTTTTCTTTGCCACCGTCTTGAGTGTTACTTGGAGTTGCACTTGATTGTGGATTAGGATTGCTTGAATCCACGGTTTCATAATTCATCTCTACGAATTGAGATTGCGACATCTATATAAAAACATAGAAAAACGAGTATTAAGCTTCACAGTTCACACTCCTTAGTCCTTAAGCTTAAGCCAAAAAAAATAATCTAACTAGGCGGGACTCGGGAGGCACCAAAGCGAGTAGGCTTTCATAAAAATTCTTGTAGAATCAAGAATGAAGTTTTCATTACGTACATGCCGGATCATGAATTAGTAATCGCATCCAATTTCCAAAAAAATCCCAAATGTTTCGAACTTTTTTTTTTTTGAATGGAATATTTACGGAATCCTCATAAATAGGATCAAACCTTATTCCATTGTATTTACCTCTTTCTTATTCTTAAGCAAGTCTCCGAGATGGCTTAATTGATCCATGATTTATGTTTCATCTTTCGTTTCCTTTTCGTTTGTTTCGAGAAATATAGCGATCCTTAGACTCGTTGGGAACGGTCTTACTTCCCTAGTTTGTATAAGTCTTTTATTTTACTAATTACTATTATTCCGGATACAACATGGTATGGGATTATTTGGACTACAAGAGCAAACCAGATTATAGAGCAAGATTTGATAAGTAATGGTCAACAAATTGAAATTCATTTATCAACATATTTTTTTCTTCCATTTTAATTCATTTCAATAATTCTTTTAGTTGGCTCTGTTGGTTGTCGGCAATAGGCCTACTCGTCATAGCCGATAGGCACCATTGCACCAAGACAGATTCCACGCATTGTAAAACTCAAACAATTCCAAATATCCAACAAAATCAAGAGTTCAAGATAAACATTCATAACAAGACCGATCAAAACATCCGAACACTCCAAATGCATAAACCAAACCATCAATTGAAGAACACAACTTCTAAGCTAACCCTATGTTTGATTCTCCCATAAACTGGATACAAAACATATCCAAGAATATATTGCAATTGCATTAAAAACAGAGACAAAAGAATCGAACATCTTTAATCTTTCGCTCTTTGTTTGTTAAAAAAGATTATGCACCTTGACCGATGAGGATGAGTGGATGACCATGACCGTGACTCGTGAGGTGTGACTCTGTGAGATCGACGATGGGTGAGTAAGCTGGAGCTTGGAGCTTGGAGCTTGGAGGTCGGAGACTTAGAGGATTGACCGGACCGCCACCTGTAGGAGTGGAGTAGAGATTGAGACTGCGAGAGTGCGGGACGGGAGGAGAACCGGAGAAGGGAATGAAGCGAGATTGAGTCGACTCTCGAGTGAGGACTGCGAGAGTGAGAGAGGATGCCCGATGTCCGGACGTAGCTAGGCGGCGGCAACGACGCTTAGGGAGTTAGGGACTTACGGTTAGGGATTTGCCGATTTGGTATTTTGGTATTTGGAATTAGAATGGAAATGAGAAGAGAAATCATTGAAATCAAAAATAGAAATTTAGGAATAAATTTTGGTTTTCGGTTTGAATCGATTTTTTTATAAAAAAAACTAAACCAAACTGAAATAAATTTTGGTTTTTAGTTCGGTTATAAATAGTAAATTTTAAATTCAAAATCGAACCAAATACCTTAATACGGTTCAATTTTATTCGGTTTTCGGTTAATCGAACCGTTTGTACACCCCTAACAATAACAACAATAAAAATCCCTCACGCTTGGATGGCTTTTCCTTAATAACCTCAACAATCCGCATAGAAGCGAGGCTCGAGGTTAACCATTGATGCGAGTACTTCGGATCTACTTTAGTATCGGGAGCTTCGGACTCACATAATTTTAAAAATATGGGTTTTTTTTTAGAGAAAATAAGAGAAGAAGAAAATAGTTTTTGAGTGGTCTTTGAGAAAGACCCAAAATTGGGTTTAGACAGACAAAGGGTTTTAGAGAGAAGTGGGTTTTGGAGATTTTGTATTGAGTGGTTAAGTAAGCACGGAGAGCTACTAGTGTTACGGAAGAAAATGCATCCATTTTTAGAGAAATGAGAGCAACGAAAAGCTTTCTCCTTTTTGTGCAGAACAAATATGTGGCTAGTTTCTTTTTTATTTTCTAGTTTTTAACTAATTTTTCTTATTTTTTTTATGTGGCGAATTAATCTAAAGTTACACGCCATGTGAATTTTTTATATCATATGTCAGTTTTAATTGAAAAATTAATCAAATGACAATCGAATGGCCCAAATTAAGCAAAATTCAAGAGTAAATAAAGATAACGAATAAAAAAAAATATAAGTTATATTAAGAAAATCAAAAGAATAAAGGGGCATTTTATGCCATTAACCTAAAAAATATTGAACACTCAAATAGAAAGATTTATCAGTTTGACATTAAAATAAAAAAAATAATAAATAATTAGACACTCAAATTTTATTTATTTATTTATTTTTATATGGTGATGGTGGTTGCCATAACTCATTTTTTGACCCCCATAAAATTTTTATTTTTATAAGAAATTTAAAATTTTCAAAAAAAAAAAATTGTATGTTACATATGTTTTTGATCTTTTTATGATTTTTATTTATTTTTATAAATTTTTATTTTTTTAATATCTTAAGATTATCTCCTAATTTAATTAAATAAATAAAAGGGAAGAAAAAAAAGAGAAGAAAAGAAAGAGAAAAAAGATAATAATTTGAAAATGTGATTTGGGATTCAATTGAAAAAATGTGAGAGATGAGGACCAAATAACATCCAATTAGGGTATAATTGGAAGGGAATAAAAAAATAAAAAGCCGTAATTGAGAATGAATTAGGATGAAATTTTAAAAAAAGGACTAAATAATTTTAATTAGGGGCGTGATTGATGAGAAGATAATGAGACAATGACCAAAATTAAAAAAAAAAAAAGAGTGAAAGAATGGAGGACCAAGCTGAATGTTTTACACAATTCTAAAAAATAAATAAACTATAAAAACCTCATTTTCTCTCATTCTCAAGAGCAGACCACTCGGGGGGGGGGACTCTCTCCACTCATCTCTCGCACAAAGCCACCACCAACCACCAAAAAAAAAAACCTTTCACTTATCATTTAAGGCCACCACAATCTAAGGTAAACAAAACCCTTAATTATCTTAATTTGAAATTTTTAGAGTTTGTTCAAGTCTTTGTCATTAGCATAGGTTTTAAATTTGGTAATTTTGGGAGTCCATTTACTATTATTTTACAATTTATTTATTTATTCTTCCAATATTTTAATGATTAATGTAAGGTGGTTTCAAAATTTAATTATTAAGTCCAATGTTTAATTTTATTTTAATCTAAAATTTTTAAAGTTTGTTCAAATTTTTGTCCTTAACGTTTTTTTTTTAAATTTTGTAATTTTAAGAGTCCATTTTCTATTATTTCAAAATTTATTTATTATTCTGCTATTATTTTAATTATTGATGCGAGTGTGTTTAAAATTTTAATTATTAAGTGTAGTGTTTAATTTTATTATAATCTGAAATTCTTAGAGTTTGTTCATTGTTAGTACTTAGCATGTATTCTAAATTTTATAATTTTAAGAGTTCATTTACTATTTAGTTGACATTTAGTTATTATTCAACCTCTTTTTTAATTATTAGTGTAGATTATTTGTGGAGCTTAATTATTTGATCTAGTGTTTAATTTCGTTTTAATATGAAAATTTAGGGTGTTGTCTTGTGTTTGTCTAAAGCTTGTATGTTATGTTTCACAATTTTATGAGTTCGTTTCCTATTTATTATTATTCTAACATTTATTTTAATTATTAATATGTTTTATTTCAGCGAGTTTATTTGTAATTCCGAGTACCTTTTATTATTTAAATCTGAAACTCTTAAGGTTTGTACATATGTTTTTCCATATTTTGTGTGTCAATTTTTATAATTTTATGAGTACGTTTACAATTTATTTAATATTTATTATTTTTTTACCATTTATTTTAATTATTAATGTGCTTTATTTCGGTAGTTGATTTTTAATTCCAGTACCTTTTAATATTTTAATCTAAAACTCTGAGAGTTTGTAGATATGTTTGTCCATGTCTTGTGTTTTAATTTTCATAATTTTATGAGTCTATTTGCTATTTATTTATAATTTATTTACCATTTGACTGGTATTTTAATTACTAATGTGATTTGTTTCAGACTTTAATTTTAAACTCAGTTTCCTTTTTTTATTTTAATATGAAATTTTTAGAGATTGTAACTATGCCAGTTCTTGATTTTTATTTTCATAATTTTTTAAGTTCATTTGCTATTTCTTTGTAATTTGTTTTCAATTTTGCTATATATATAGAGAGAGAGAGAGAGAGTTTTTTTTTTTTTTTTAATGGTCACCGATGAGGTTGTGGTCCTAGTAACAAATTAATGGTTGGATGGCTTCGATCTAAGCCAATCATGTGGTTTAAAATGATTTGTCATACAAGAGATCAATGACGAGTACTAGCAAAACAAATCTTCTTTTGGTGTTTTAAGGACCTTTCGATTCATCGAATTAGTCTACGGATAGAGGTAAGTGCTTATTGCATCCGGGATGTCCGACACGAAGTAGCTAAAGGCTTAATTTGCTCTTAGATTGATATGTAAGCCTCCATTAACAACTCAATACATCGTTGTAGTTGGAGTACATCGATTGGTGGGACATTAGGAACGGCGAAGTCTAATGAAATTGATCATGATAGAGTTTCTTGATTATGAGACATAGGCAAACTTTAAGATGGAGAAATGAACCAGTTTGAAATTGACTTTTTTGCTTAAGCTTTTACGGACTACACCATTGATGAGGTCGTGATTCTCTAATTAATATTGATGATTGGATGACTTTTGATCCAAGGTTGATCATGTGGTTTAAAATGATTCGTTGTACAAGAAATTAACGCCGAGTACTTGTAAAATAAGTCATCTAATATTTGAAGGACTCTAGGAGAGAGCAATGAAGAAAGAAGTGTTTGGCATAAATATACTTAAATTATAGTTTGCACAAGTAGGTTTAATTTAATTTGGCTTGATTAGGCTTAACCATCTTTTTTGCTCTTAGTAGGAGTAGATATATGATATTATATCAATTATATAGTTTGAGAGATAGAAAATGTAACACACGAAGTGTTATCTTTTCTATGGTAGGGGAAATGATCAACTTGAATCAAGAAGAGGGCCATGAAGTTTTTTTTTCTTTTGTACAACGGATCTTGATATCTATTTATTAATTGAGGATCTCTTTAGGTAAATACCTGTCAATATCGATGTATGTACAATCATATCTAAAGATGATAAAATGACTACTTCTAGTAACCATGTCTTCATTAAATATTTATCTTTTGTGTGTTGGAAAGGAAGGAAGGAGAGTTTATTCATGATGCTGGATCGTGCCGTCTATACGAGATTTGTCTGGTCATGGAGTCCATTATCAAAGAGGCAATTTCGACCTTACTCGTGTTAGAAATTTGGCATCCTTTTTGGTAAACGAGAAAGATATATACATTGCAGAGCGATTTATACTGGCATGTCAGTCACAACTGAATCTCACATCCAAAATGTATATATATTTTTTTTAATTGATGGAACCTGCAAAAACTACTAGAGGGCTCGATTTAGAGAAAGAAGAATAGTCAAGGAAATAATCGCAGCAAATATTTAGTTCAACGCGAATGGCGCTGTAACCAAATGATTTAAGGAAGACCCAAAAACTTTTGGTTAAGAAAGATGTGACATCCTGATGTAAAATATGAGATGAAATCTCATTCAAGAATCTCATCACAATTCACACATCATTCAATAAATTATATTTACAATTCGTTATCGAAGAAGAAAATACTATTTTAACAACAGTAAAAAATATTTTCACAAAAATCTACAGTATAGATACATGTATGGCGAGTATTTAGTGGCAAAGGTTGATGCCGGGGAAATTTATGCGGAGTATTTAGTGGAAAAGTTTGATGCCGGAAAAAATAAATTTCAACGCTATCTCTACCATAAGAGCTTTGCCACTGCACTAGACTTGTTGAAACAAGAGTTTTTTAGATGACTATTACTAATGGAATGTTGGATTACGGTTTGACAAAAATACAATATTTTTAACCAATCCGTGGCAGAAAAGTGGCTTAATGGTTGCAAAAGTCTTTTTTTTTTTTTTTTACACTTTTGTTTTTATTGTGTCTCTATTTTTTATGTGTTTTAAGTTGGTCCTTTATGTTTGATTTTTGTTTTAATCTTTTCTTTTCATTAACTTTTAGATTAACAATGTTAATATTTTTTTCATTTTCTATCTTAATCTCATCTCTCTAGTATTTTTTTCTTAATCTTGTTTCTTATACACCAAATTTAAATAAATAAATTTTGAAAAATTACAAAAAAAGAAACTAGAAAAAAAGGTGAAGAATATATCCAGTCATTTTCTCTAAAAATTGAAAACTAAAAAAAAAAGATGAAAATAAAAATATTTTTTTTTATCTAAAATATCTCTTATGAGCTTAAATTTGTCTCTATGATAATAAGTAAATTTTAAGTATAAAATGAAAAATTTATAGCATTTTTTTTAAATATATCTCTATAATATACGTAAATTTTGAGTATAAAATAAATATTTATAGTATTTTTTAAAATACGAAGAGATTTTTAGTTAAATTTTTAAAATTAAAAATTTTATAAAATGAAAATAAGTAAATTATAGTATACTCTTTTAAGATATTGTAAAATCATAAATATCATTCAAAAGTTTAAAATTTAACTAAAATTCTCTTCACATTTTTGTAAAAAAAATACCATAAATATTTTATTTTATAACTAAAATTTATTTACTATTATAGAGATAAATTTAAACCCGTAAAAGATATTTTGAATAAAAAAATATTTTTAGCTTCACTTTTTAATTTTTTTTAAAAAAGAGAATGACCAGATATATCTTTACTTTTTTCTAATTTCTTTTTTAAATTTATTTATTTAAATTAAATAAAAAAGATTAAAATGAAAAATAGAGTAGATGGATGAAATTATGACAAAAAAAAAAAAA